ACCTCACATTCATCCGAGCAACTGGCTACTGCTGAATTGGTTGAATCATAAGCATCAGAAGCATTTGGTTCAGTGTCTACACTTGTAGTGGTCTCAGGATCTTGGGAGCTACATGCTAGCTCAGGTGCATTGCTAACCTTAGCTGAATTTGCAGTAGCATTTATAGAATTGCTTTCAGCAGATGTCTTTGTACTGAAGAAGCTGGAGATATTTGGAACACTCTCAAGTAAAACTGATTCCTTTGTTTTTCTTTTTTTGCAGAATTTTTTTTCTAGCTCCTCCACTTAAACGTTTATGATCCATATTTCCCTTCTTTCTTTGCACATTGGCTCTTTGCCTATCACAACAGATAAACCAACTATGTGTGTGTGTGTGTGTGTGTGTGTGAGTTTGTTTGTGTGTTTATGATCGGTGCTGCTTCCTTCAAGTGTGTGAGGTGATTTAGAAAACTAGCAACCCAGCATCAACACTCCAAAGCAGAGAATAACAGCTTACTAGCATAGACAATTGAGAGCAGAGAATCAACTGATTTGTCTGATAGACAGCAGGAGAGCAGAGTGGTCAGTGATGATCGAATCAAGAAAATGTCTAAATGGCAAGGGAACAGACTGATTTGTACTGAGGAGAAAGAGAGAGAGAGCCAATTACAGTGAAATATATTCCAAAAGAGCCAAGTGACTAGCTGAAGGCAGGGACAAATGCCTTGGAGTGACCAACAAGAGTGCAAAGTACCAAATGGCAAAATGTGGGAAGACCAACAGGCAGATCTGCTTTTACCACTTATCTTCACAACCAAAAAGTCGCTAAATGATGTTTTTAGTCGCTAGCCAGGTATGGCCAAAAGACACGAAATCTAGCGGCAAAGTCGGTCAATCACACTGACAGTGAAACAAATATTTTGAAAAGATAATAATTGTACAACTTTGTGCACTTTTGTCTTCTATCTAAATATTTTCACAAAGGACACCAAAATGTTGCTATCTGCAGGCAGCTTGCTAGCTATGATGGCAGCAACGATGTCTGCCAGACAGGAGAGAGTGGTCAGTGACGATCGAATCGAGAAAATGACAAAATGGGTCAAAGACCAAAAAGTTATTAACTGACAGCAGTGACAAATGTCAGACTGTAAACTTTTTCGAAAGAAAAGGACAAAATGGGAAGATGCTGATAGTAACAGCAAAATGGAAAATATAAGAATTTCCAAGTAATGCTCAACTCAAGTGTGTGTGTGTGTGTGTGTGTGTGTGTGCGCGCGTTAAACTTCTTGTTGAATGATTTCAAATTATCTCTGAGTCTGAACTGAGGGAAAGGAAAACAAATTTTGAGCAGTCTCTCACGAGTTCAAAATACCAAATGAGGAGATTCTAAAAGAACAGACCGGTTTATGAAAGACTTGATGGGGGAGGGGCACAGCTAAGAATACTTGAGTGAGATTCTGTGATCCAAATTCGAGATAGAGCTTTTTGATAATGATAATTTGTCAGAGTAAGGTTGTGTAATCAAAATTTGAGAATGAGCTTTGTCAATCAATCAAGAATATTTGCATTAAGTTCTGTGATCAAAATTCAGAAACAACCTTTAATAATTGATAAAGAATATGTGAGTGAGGTTGTGTGATCCATCCAATTTGAGAATTAGCTTTGATAATAATGATTGAGAGCCTCTGGCCCTCTGTGGATCATGGCCGCGGGGCCAATTTTGCCTGGCCCCTTGGGGCCTCTGTGGGTCGTGGCCGCGGGGCCAAGTTGGCCTGGCCCCTTGGGGCCTCTGACCCTCTATGGATCGGGGCCAAGTTGGCCTGACCCCTCGGGGCCTCTGGCCCTCTATGGATCATGGCCGCGGGGCCAAGTTGGCCTGACCCCTTAGGACCTCAGGCCCTCTGTGGGTCGCGGCCGCGGGGCCAAGTTGACCTTGTCCCTTGGGGCCTCTTACCCTCTATGGATCATGGCAGCGGGGCCAAGTTGACCTGGCCCCTTGGGGCCTCTGGCCTTCTGTGGCTTGCGACCGCGGGGCCAAGTTGGCCTGGCCCTTTGGGGCCTCTGGCCTTCTGTGGGTTGTGGCCGCGGGGCCAAGTTGGCCTGGCCCCTTGGGGCCTCTGACCGTCTATGGATCGTGGCCGCGGGGCCAAGTTGAACTGGCCCCCTGGGGCCTCTGACCCTCTATGGATCGTGGCCGCGGGGCCAAGTTGGCCTGGCCCCTTGGGGCCTCTGACCGTCTATGGATCGTGGCCGCGGGGCCAAGTTGGCCTGGCCCCTTGGGGCCTCTGACCGTCTATGGATCATGGCCGCGGGGCCATGTTGGCCTGACCCCTTGGGACCTCTTACCCTCTATGGATCATGTCCGCGGGGCCAAGTTGGCCTGACCCCTTAGGACCTCAGGCCCTCTGTGGGTCGTGGCCGCGGGGCCAAGTTGACCTGGCCCCTTGGGGCCTCTTACCCTCTATGGATCGTGGCCGTGGGGCCAAGTTGGCCTGGCCCCTTGGGGCCTAAGATTATTATTTTTGCAAAAGTAGTTTTGCTTGGGTCGCGGCCGCGGGGCCAAGTTGGCCTGGCCCCTTGGGGCCTCTGGCCCCCTGGGCCTGGGCCCGGTAGGCCCGGTCATTAATCCACCTATGATTGCTGCAGTCCTCTCAACTTCGAAAAATCTTTTTTTTAATTACACATTAAATCAGGAAATGGACCATATACAGGTGCTGGTCATAAAATTAGAATATCATGAAAAAGTAGATTGATTTCAGTAATTCCATTTAAAAAGTGAAACTTGTATATTATATTCATACATTACATACAAACTCATATATTTCAGATGTTTATTTTGTTTAATTTTGATGATTACAAATGACAACAAATGAAAATCTCAAATTCATCATATCAGAAAATTAGAATATTACTGAAGACCAATAAAAACAAAGGATTTATAGAAATGTTGGCCAACTGAAAAGTATGAACATGAAAAGTATGAGCATGTACAGCACTCAGTATTTAGTTGGGCCTCCTTTGGCCTGTATTACTGCAGCAATGCGGCGTGGCATGGAGTCGATCAGTCTGTGGCACTGCTCAGGTGTTATGATAGCCCAGGTTGCTCTAATAGTGGCTTTTAGCTCTTCTGAATTGTTGGGTCTGGTGTATTGCATCTTCTTCTTCACAATACCCCATAGATTTTCTATGGGGTTAAGGTCAGGAGAGTTTGCTGGCCAATTAAGAACAGGGATACCATGGTCCTTCAACCAGGTACTGGTAGCTTTGGCACTGTGTGCAGGTGCCAAGTCCTGTTGGAAAATGAAATCTGCATCTCCAAAAAGTTGGTCAGCTGCAGGAAGCATGAAGTGCTCTAAAACTTCCTGGTATGTGGCTGCGTTGACCCTGGACCTCAGAAAACACAATGGACCAACACCAGCAGATGACATGGCACCCCAAACCATCACTGACTGTGGAAACTTTACACTGGACTTCAAGCAACGTGGATGAAGTGCCTCTCTTCTTTTCCTCCAGACTCTGGGACCTTGATTTCCAAAGGAAATGCAAAATTTACTTTCATCAGAGAACATGACTTTGGACCACTCACCAGCAGTCCAGTCCTGTTTCTCTTTAGCCCAGGCAAGACGCTTCTGACGCTGTCTGTGGTTCAAGAGTGGCTTGACACAAGGAATGCGACAGCAGAAACCCATGTCTTTCATACGTCTGTGTGTGGTGGTTCTTGAAGCACTCACTCCAGCTGCAGTCCACTCTTTGTGAATCTCCCCCACATTTTTGAATGGGTTTTGTTTCACAATCCTCTCCAGGGTGCGGTTATCTCTCTTGCTTGTACACTTTTTTCGACCACATCTTTTCCTTCCCTTCGCCTCTCTATTAATGTGCTTGGACACTGAGCTCTGTGAACAGCCAGCCTCTTTAGCGATGACCTTTTGTGTCTTGCCCTCCTTGTGCAAGGTGTCGATGGTCGTCTTTTGGACAACTGTCAAGTCAGCAGTCTTCCCCATGATTGTGTAGCCTATAGAACTAGACTGAAAGACCATTTAAAGGCTTTTGCAGGTGGTTTGAGTTAATTAGCTGATTAGAGTGTGGCACCAGGGGCCATCAATTTTGAACCTTTTCACAATATTCTAATTTTCTGATATGATGAATTTGAGATTTTCATTTGTTGTCATTTGTAATCATCAAAATTAAACAAAATAAACATCTGAAATATATGAGTTTGTATGTAATGTATGAATATAATATACAAGTTTCACTTTTTAAATGGAATTACTGAAATCAATCTACTTTTTCATGATATTCTAATTTTATGACCAGCACCTGTAGTGACGCTTTAAAGTATAATATTCTCCCCTCAAATAATCTTAAAACTTACTTTTATTGAACAACAGCAACAGAAAAGAGAACTTTTAACTTTTAATGGAGTGATCCATTGAAAGCTGCTGCAGTGGTACATGCTGGGATGGCTGTCAATCTCAAGAACGGCGAAGTCTGCTCTGATGCGTACTCGATAATGAGGGCTGGGCGAGAACAACATCCGGGGATTTGGTGCGTTCTCGGTCTTGCGTTCTCTGCAATTGGAACAGTGCTTGGGCTGAGGCTGATGACGTATCACGAGTACACGAGCACGCAAGAACGCTCAAGAACGCGTATTGAGAAACGGCCCAGGATAGCTCTGTTACTAAGGTAACAGACAGGTTGAGTAAACTCTCTTTGCGAAACAGAAAATTCTAATTTCCTGTGAATAGAGTTTTCATTCAACGTGCTTCTCCATAGAAGACCTGAAAGTCTCTGAGCTGCTCTTAACTCAGTTTGATGTTTGACCTTCATAAAGAAGGAAAATATGATATGATTAAAAATCGTGAAAAAAACCTCTTCATTGAGATAAACCATATTTTTCTCACTGGGCCATTTAGGAAGACAGATAAAATGAGTAGAGCTGCCTGAACATCTGCAGAAAATGAGTAAAATATAATCAAAACATCAAAAAACTACATCACAATTGAAGCAAACATGCAGCCTGAAAACGTCAAAATTGAGCTTTATTTCAGATTTCTGCATTATAGGCTGAAGATGAATTGGAGAGTAAAAAGGTCAACCCAGTTAAAGTTTGATCAGATTCAGATCAAACCTACATGAAGCCACTAACTGGAGGAGCTTAGTTTGAATTTTATCTTCATTGTTCCAAAGAGAAAAACAATATCAACACCTATATGACAGACAGGATCAAAATAAGAACAGAAAAATCTGGAAACTCAGAGTTCATCATCAGGATCCAGTTAGAGTCTCTAAACTCAAACTGCTTCAGCTTCAATGTCTGTGGATCAACAGGACACAGATCAGCTTCTCTCTTCTACTAGGATAACCAGCTCCACAACCTACAGAGAGAAGAAGGAAGAACAGAGGAGATCAATAAGTGATTCCATCCTATCCATTAGATGTCAGTAATTGATACAGGACATCCATGATGAAGCAATGAAAGGCCTTCAGTCCTGTTCAGAGCTGTAGTGGAGCAGCTGGACTCACTCCAACCATCTACTTACAGAGTCTTCAGTTTGTAGTCTGGACTCTCTACCAGATCCTGCAGCTGCTGAACATCTGACTGCTTCAGGTTGTTCTTACTCAGGTCAAGGTATTCCAGATGTGAGGGGTTTGATTTTAGAAATGAGACCAGGCAAGCACAGCCGATCTCTGTCAATTGGCAGCCAATCAATCTGAATAAAGTATAGAAAGATGTAGTGATGTTAGAACAGACCAACAGAACCAGTTAAAGAGCTCTCATTAATATTAATGGAAACATGCTGCTGCTCCAATAAAGACCTAATGAGATTAGCAGGGACAAGCAGAAATCCCACACCAGTTGGGCCTTAGAGCAGAAACCCAAACAGGACTCCAGTAGAACCCAAATCCAGTCGGGATCAGTCGTTTGGTATGTTGGTGCATTTCGGACAAACTAAGGCATTTATTTTTTAACATGACATACCAGTGGCATTCAAAGCCCCAAACACATTAAATATAAGACCATTCCCCCCAAAGATCTGGTTCCCCGGTACCAATAGCCCAGGATTGGATATAATGTTTAGCTCCAGGAGGACTGAAAGCAGTTTTACATTGGGGGAAAAAACAAAAACAGCCACTGACCAAAAGGATGGCCTAGAGCGGAGAGCAATGTAATCTGTCCAAGGTTCAGTTATGTCCACTCATCTTTGAGGGATGAACATGTTCTCATCCTGGAGAGGGAGGAACGTTGGAGACAAGTGGAATGGAAGCCATTTTGTTGAAGAGATACTTTCCATCTTTAAAAAGGGATGGAGGACCCCAGGGTCTTTTGTCCTCCTCTTCCAATGCTGTTATGGAGCATGACTCAGCGTTCTGGGAACAATGCAGCGGTCATCAGAGCACTAACCATCGGCCATTAGGCTGTTGACCGTCATTTGCATGTGAACAACCAGTTTGGATATTCAATACCATTTTTGATACTGTGTAGATAAAATATCTGTAATAATTTCAGGCATTAAAATATTTTCACTAACATCAAAAACTGACCTATTTTAGTCTCAACATGGGACCCCGCTGTCTTATGTTGCCAGGAAGACTGACTTATTTTTAATGGTTCAAGGTTATGTTTAAGAAGGCGTATGTCAGGAATCCAGTTTGTGTGGTCTATTTTGTGTCTGTCTCTCCCTCCATCACCAGGGGCGCCCTGTCCTTGTTGGTCCTCCTTGCACACCTGCAGCTCTTTGGATCATTATCTGGAGGAGTACTTAAGCAGTGGACTGTCACTACTTTGAGTGTTTTGGGTACTCTAGCCATGCTTAGATTAGCAGTGTCTAACCTGAGTCTTTGTTTCACTGAGCCTAGCTGAGTTTTTGTTTCTCTGAGCCTAACCTTGCTTTTGTCTTTGCCTTTGGCTGGAAGTCCTCCTGTGTACTGGATGCCTGGCCTTCGTCCCCTGGAAGGATTGTTTATTGAGTTCACACTGAGCAGGGGAGAAACCTCCACATGTGCCGTTCAAGTCCCTCACAAAAATTCAAGTGACAGTCTGCTCCATTGCTCCTCTGGGTCCTAAGTAGGTCTACCAGTCCACCCTTTAAATAGTCCCCTCTTCTCATGATCAACCCACACATTCTGGATTCAAAGTGAGAGAAGAACCCCCCCCCAAACGAGAGTTCCTCACTACCATCACCCTTACGGCATTCAAGATTCCTACTGTCCCTGAACGAACAGTTGTTATATCCTCTCCAGACCTTTTTAGTTCCTGTTCACCAGCTTTCTGAGTTCCAGACCTACCCCCTTCAACCCTACCTCAATAAACCTGTTAAACCTTTCCCTTGCTCTCTGAGTGGTTCTCTGCATCTTTGGGTCGGGCCTTTAAACACACCATGACAGCGTAGGGTTCAAATTTGCATTCATGCGTTTTTTTCCCTGGTCCTCATTTTAAACACATCAAACTAAAATTGAATAATAATGATACACTGATTTGAACGGCTAAGATGGTGGAGTTTTACAGCTCTATCCCTCAGCCCTACCTCTGACCCATCAGTACAATGTACACACCTTTTGAAGCCCGATTGAATTATAATTCCACACAGACGTTCAAATGTAGTTCAGATGAAATGTTATTGGTAGATGGACATTATCACATCAGAACCTTCAGTGTGATCTATGCTAGCACTATGGCGCCAGGTTGATTGCTCTAAAATCCCTCAGACCTTACAGCCTACCTACTGTTCTCCTCTTGCGGTATTACTTATTTCCCCACACTACATAATCGGCATTCTGCACTTTCAATCCCTCTGTATTGAACAAACCCAGACTCTGTTTAATGAACTAAAAGTTGTTAGGGAAAATTGTTAGACTGCTTCTGGAAAGAAATCTGTGTTATTGAACTTTGAACTGTCATTAATAACTCTTTTTGAACGTGATTTGCGCTGGCCAAACCTTCAGGCTCTGTAGTCCTTCTGAGAGTCTTAACCTGCTCTTCTGATCAACTGGCCTATTGATCCTTAACAAGCTCACTGATTTACCTTCACACTGATATTTACAGTGTAATGTTATTAGAATAAAAAAATACTATATCTTACTTCAGTGTCTGCAGTTTGCAGAGGGGAGAATGGAGAAACCCCCTGAGCTCCTTCATTCGAGTGTTCAGGTAGGTTCCACTCAGGTCCAGTTCTGTTAGATGGGATGGATTAGTCTTCAGAGCTGAGCCCAGAGAAGCTAATTTGGTTTCACACAAACGGCAGCCCTCCAATCTGAATAAAGAACAAAATATTTTAGCTGAATTCAACAGGATGAAGATTAACCCTTGAAAGCCTGGACCCAGACATCTTTTTTCTGCAATTTTCTGCAATTCTGCAATTTTCAAACTATAGTTTGCAAAGATTTAAAAATGTCATTGAACTTTCTGACAAATGAAAACAATTTGTTAATGTTAAATCTGATCCTTTGTTTGAATTATTTGTGATACATTAAGCATTGTTGTATAATCTACGTGTCTGATTGTGTAAGTCAGGTTTTTCAAGAACAAAAATATCAACACCATTATCATCTGATCTGATAGGAAAACTGGAACAGCTGGGCTTCAATACACCCCTCTGCAATTGGCTGCTAGACTTCCTCACCAACAGACCTCAGTCAGTCCAAGTCGGACAGAACACCTCTGATGTCATCAGTCTAAGCACAGGTTGCCTCAGGGCTGCGTCCTGAGCCCCCTGCTGTTCACCCTGATGACACATAACTGTGTCCAACCAATCCCATTGTGAAGTTTGCAGATGACACCATGATGGTGGGGCTCATCAGTGATGACAATGACCTGGAATACAGAGAGGAGGTAGAGCAGCTGGTGGACTGGTGCAAAGATAACAGCCTTATCTTGGAGAAGACGAAGGAGATCATCTTGGACTTCAGGAAGAACTGGCTGGTCATCAACAGCTCAGTTGTAGAGGTGGTCAGCAGCCCCAAATTCCTGGGGGTGCACATCACAGACACCCTCACCTGGACTGTAAACACCACCTCACGGGTCAAAAGGGCACAGAAGCGCATGTAGAGAGCCCACCTGCCCTCACCCATCCTCACCACCTTCTACAGAAGCACCATAGAGAGTGTTCTGACCAGCTGTCTCACTGTGTGGTGTGGAGGCTCCAGCGCCTCAGACTGGAAGAAAGTGAGGAGAGTGAGAGAACAGCAGAGAAGAACATGGGGGCTCCTCTTCCCTCCATTTAAGACAAAGACCACCATGGACTGTTCTCCCTGCAGCCCTCTGGGAAGAGGCTTTGCAGCATTCAATGCAGATCCAGTAGATCCTGAAACAGCTTCTTCCCCACTGCCATCAGACAGCTGAACTGTTGAGAAAACTCTAAATCATGTCACAGACTCTCCATTACACTGATAACACCAAACCAAAATACTGCATAATTGCACCACATATATTTTTAATGCTCTGAATTTCCGTATGAATGTTTTTTACAACAATATATATATATATATATATATATATATATATATATATATATATATATATATATATATATATATATATATATATATATATATATATATATATATATATATATATAAATTGATTCTTTAACACTAAGGTCTTCAGTATGGATCAGTAGGATATCAGCCATGTGTTATCAGTTTAGAGTCAACACAACTTAGCACAACCATAAGAAATATCAGCACTAAACTAAAACATGGAGACTAACCGTAGTGTCTGTATTTTGCAGAGGGGAGATAGGAGGAACCCTCTGAGCTCCTGCATTCCAATGTTCAGGTTGGTTCTGCACAGGTCCAGTTCTGTCAGATGTGATGGATTAGACTTCAGAGCTGAGCCTAGAAAAGCCCAGCCTCTGTCTGAGAATTTGCAGTCAAACAATCTGAATAAAGAATAATTTTTTTTTAGGTGAATTCAATATGTTGCAGATTAAAATTGACATATGAAAAAACAAATAATCAAAATGTAGAAAATGAAATTGACCAAATGTAAAAGTCTCAGAAACACAATGAACTGATGTCCTATGTATGATCCATTTAAATTGATTGAAAGAGTTAAACCAAGCGGAAACAGAACATATTTTGATGACATGTGAAGGTCCAGATCAAGGTGTGTTTCTTAGTTTCCTCCAGGGGAATTTTTGTTGGAAAAAGGGCAGGGCTGCCACACAATGCTGAACACACTCCTGAATCTTCAAATTCATCTTAGTATTTATCTGGGTATCGTTCATCTCCTGAAATCTGTCAGTTCCTGGTTAGAATGGAGGAGGAATGAAGGAATGCTTGATACGATTGTGTTTCCATAAAGAAACCCTAATTATGGACCTTCAGCCTCAGATTGCCAGACTAAAATATCAAACTCCAAGCAAACATTTGATTCTCGATACCATTTTTGACACCATGGGGATAAAAATTGACAAATAATTTAAGGCATTTTCATGAATGTGAAAAATTTAACCTTTTCAGTTTAACCCCATTTTATTTTATTTATTTATTTTTTTCTGACCTATTTATAAAGGTCAGAGGGCATGTTGGAATAGGGTTAGGACTTACATTTACATTTGGATGCTGTTCCCTGGACCTTACTTCAAACAGATCAAGCTAAAATCAAATCAAATCTTAGTGATAGACGAAAATGAGCGACACAGGTGGTAATCCATTTTTCAGCTCTATCCCACAGCCCTACCTCTGACCCATCCATAGGGCATACACACATTTTAGAGGCAGGATAAATCAGAGACACAGATCTTGGGGAATTGAAGACAGATTGCATGACATTTAATTTTAGTTAAGATTAAACAAAAATGGTAGATAGAGTTGATCAGATCTGAACCTTAACAAATATATACTACGTCTGACCTCAAGGTCTGTAGTTTGCAGATGGGAGACTGGAGAAACCCACTGAGCTCATTCATTCCAGGGTTCAGATCAGTTCCACTTAGGTCCAGCTCTGTCAGATGTGATGCTTTAGACTTCAGAGCTGAGCCCAGAGAAGCCCAACTGATCTCTGACATTTTGCAGTCAAACAATCTAAATAAAGAATAGAAGATTTTAACTGAATTCAATAGGATGCAGGTTAAAACTGACATATGAACAAATGAATAACAAAAATGTATTTGAGTGAATATAAAAGTCCCAGAAACATGATGAACTGATGTCTAACATTTGATCCACTGAAACTGATTGAAAGAATAAAGAGTTAATCCAAGCACGACTGGAACATGTTCTGATGACTTGTGAAGGTTCAGATCAAGGTGTGTTCATTAGTTTTCTTCTGGTAGAAATCTGTCCTAGACAAAGGGCAGAGCTGCAGCACAACCCAGAATCAGAACAACACAAGCAGCATCAACTGCTGCTTGCTTGACAGATTACTTGTTTTTAATTAAAACAGTTCTGGATCAAGGAGAACTGATCTGGAAGACTAATATTACTTTTAGTTGAAATTTATCCTGGCAATCAGATTCCAGATTCTGAGAGGCTGCAGGTAATCGGACCAGCTGATCTGCGAAACTCCACTCCACTCTTTACTGTTACCTTAGTGGGACATGTTGTGGTCTGTGGGGTGATGCTGAAACTTTAAACTTTGGGAGACGAGTTCAAAGAGGGTGTTCCCCTTAGTATAAATAGGAGTGAAAGCATGACTCCATGGCCACTGCTGTTTATCAGACCCTCTCTACCCATGCATGGACCCTCTCTTGTTTAAATAGTACATAATACAGTATGTTGCAAAAAGAGTAGGTCTTGCTTTCTAATGTCAAATGTGACATATTTCTAGTTGTTAACCTTCTATTTTTGTGCTTGATCTAGAATATTCTCCTCTAGCATGTATATGAAATACCTTAAAATATCCTTCATTGAATCTGCAAAGTATGAGGACATAATCCCTCCCCTTTTTTCAGACTTTAAAGACTTTATAGACTTTAAACCACTTCTGTTAGTCTATAAATCACTTAATGGATCAGCATCTAAATCAATAACAGACCTGTTGTCAGTGTATTAACCTCCCAGACCGCTCAGGCATTTTAGTTCCAGCCTAATCTGTACAACCACAACTAGAACCTAACATGGAGAAGCAGCATTTAGTTCCTATGCTCCACTGATCTGGAGCAAACTCTAAGGAGCCTGTAAAGGTGCTGAAAGCTTGAGTTCTTTAAAGTCACAGTTAAAAACCCATTTGTTTAGAACTGCCTTTGACTGTTGAAATTAAACCTATAAGTTAAATATTCCAAGTATTTGTCTTAAAATGTGGGGAGTAAAATTAAAAACTATTCTGAAAAATGATTATTTAAATAAAGTACAAATACAACTGAAATCCAACTGACTCTGGCAGCTTGTTCTCTCTGACCCAATCTAACAGAACAGCGGCTTCAGGATAATTATTTGATTTCTTTGCTCTTTCTTAAACATAATTTTTCTTTTAGATAATGTTATTTTATTCTATGTGGGATTAACTATGGATGAACCAAATGTCATTCTGGATTAGATTATATGAATCAGAAATGACAAATAAAGCCAGGGCTCGATGTTAACCATTGCCCGATCGCCCGGGGCATGTAGTTTTTATTGTCGGGAGAGTACAAATTTCATTGCATTTGCCTGCTGGGTAAGTGCAATGATCGCAAAAAAAAAAAGTTTTTTTATCACTCAAAATTACTTTAAAATTAACGACATTCGATGAAAACGACCCAGAAGGGTTCCGGGCACCATTTTTGTTGCTTTGTACACATATCACATGATTTGAAAAAGGCGCGTGATTTGAAATGGCCGGGTGATTTTCCGCCAGATGGCGTGATTTTTGTCCACCTAGCGGTAATTTTGATGTAGTTAGCAAAACGACAAACAAGCTAGAAAGATCTTTCATATGGCAGTCTTTTGTACAGTGGTGCAGGCCATACTTTAAAAAAATTTTCATTAAATTTTTTCTCTTAATCATTGGAGAGGTGCATTTAAATGTTATAGAGCTAAACATGTTAAATTGGTGACCTGTTATGTTATTATTATTGTCTTGTTGCTGCATTTATTTTGTCAGGGAAAACTAATCCTTAGTCAGTTAAAAGTCAGAGAATTCTGAATTTATGTATGACTGTGGAAACCCTGTATAAAATAACTATGTATAATGTTCCTCTAGAAAAGTCACATTATATTAATAGTATTATCTTGTATAAACATACCGTGACTCTAAAATAAAAGTTATTAATTTGTGACATTGACTTCTGTCTTGTGATTTATCTTAAGTTTTTAACCTGTCAAGTTTTTTTTTTTTAGATTTTTAACATTACAATTTATATTTTTCCAAGCACACAACAGTTTAAAGCAAAGTTTAATTTGAAAAGAATGTGCAGGAAGGATTGAAAAGCATGTTAACACAGTAATGTAGGTTTGAGTTCATTATCTGACGCATGCATATACACACCAGGAACCTGGAAACTTAACAAATACTGAATTACAAAAAACATTTAAAAAACAAACATGTTTCATTGATATATTTACAAAAATGAATATTAGGAACTATATTTATCAAACATTACACTGGGCAAGTAAAAATAGTTTCTGGGCAAATGAAATGTGAAAGTCACCTGCCCGAAGGGCAAGTGGTAAAAATCCTTAACGTCAACCCCTGAAAGCTATTCTATATTTTGTCATCATGTGAATCCTTCCAGTATCAAACCGAAACATCTCCATCATTATTTGATCTCATTTAACTAATTTTTGTCATTCATTCCAAAGCATTTGAAAGTTTGAACACCTGGAAAATAAAGTTCACTATTTAGAACATATGGAACAGGAGAATTATTCATTTACAAGGTAAAATATCTGAGAAACTGTATTTAAAGAAAATATATTAGAATAAAATTCTCAATTAAAATAAGTATTAAAGTATCAGTTAATGATTTGGTTTCAATACAAACAGAAAACTCACGACAGGCTCTTCACTTTGCAGACTGAACTCTCCAGTATCTCACACAGCTGCTTAATTCCACCGTCATCTAAGGATCCTCGTGCATAGATCTTCTCTATTTCCACTTCAGTCAGATGAAGGTTGGACTTCAGAGCTGAGGCCACAACTTCACATTCAGTTTCAGAGAGGTAACAGCCACCAAGTCTGTGATTTGAGGGGAAATATAGTCAGTTATAATGAAATCAGACAATCTCGATGTTAGACATACAAAACATAATGAAAAAACAGTGATTTCGTCATCTGATGACTCCACAGTGAATTGCTTAAGTCTCCTCAGATCCTGGTTCAGTTGCAGGCCTGCTGTGTCTCTGTCCTGACATTAACAGCAAATTGGATGGTGATGATCAAAACTTCCACCCCACAGCATCAAATATTTTCTGTTCATCATTTTTTAATTTAACCTTCAGCTTCTTTAGGATCATGGCTCCTCTTTGTCTCTAACAGGCAATGGTTGAAAGGTAGGGTCCTTCATGGACATATATTCAGATTTCCATGTTTGGATCTGGCTATCTGCTGGTTAGAGGAGACAGAGCATTTGTGTCAAGCAGCAATTTTTATTAGAAAGCAGTGAAAGTTCTCCCTGTAATTAGAAGAGGCTGCAATGTCTAAAGGGTTAAAGCTCATGTCTCTAAGCTTCTTTATGTAGAACATCTAACAGCTTCTTGATGAGAAAAATGGTTCCAAACTCTAATTTACAAACTTGTGGTGTGGTGTGTGTCGGTTGGGGGGGCAGTAAGAAAATATGGTTCTGTATCTAAAAAGCTAATCTCCATGGCAACAGCAGCAATGCAGGGATTGATCTGAATATTCCAAGACTGTGTCCAAATGTCTGCCCTAATCATTATATAGGGCACTATAAAGTGATTACATCGTTTTGATGAGTGTCCAAATATCTATTGGATGAAAAAGTAGTGGACTCAAAATTTTCCACAATGCATTTTGAAAAGTAGTGATTATCCATGGTCACTAGACAAGCAGATATATCCAGAATTGCATCATGAGACTTCGTCGCTACCCGACAGCAGCGACTAATGACAAAGATAGTGCAGCCCCCATGCTAAGAGGGGCAGTTAAGCCGGGCATATGCTGTGCGATATTTTCATTCATTGCACGCAGCTATAACTCAAACTGTACTACGAAACTGCAGGGTTTAAAAGTTCACAGCTCACAATGCATGTTTGCACACTGTGCGAACCCATCGCTTTGATATGATCTATCTGCTCACACTGCACGTCCAAAAACCACACGTCGGACAGCGCCAAGATGTGGCGCTGGTCGGACTCATCTATCTCGTAGCTCTGCTTCAACATCAGAATTTGTTCAGGAGCACGTCATGATGGCCGACTGAATTTCAAACATTTTTGATTTTCTCCCGACCTTACGATTCCTGATCAGAAGGTGGTCATGAGAGGCCAATCTCCCCACGTTACCCAATGAATACTACATGATGCAGGATGCAAAATCAGGCTAGAAGTTGGCCCTGATCAAAAAAAAATTCTCCCACAACTGGAGAATAGGGTTGAAAAGGGCAGGAATGTATATAAAGTGTATGCCCTGCTTTATGTGACCAACTGGAAGCTCAAAGCAAGTGATCATCTGTCCTAACGGTCAGTAAAATGAGTTAACTGACCGTCAAGTCCAGTATATAGTCCCCGCTCTATATAGTGATTGAGGGATTTAGGGGTTAGGGCTGACATTTGGACAAAGCCCAAGTTTCCATCAAAACAAAAAGTTATTATAAAAACTTTGAATTCTGGCCTAACACTCTAACGAGCAAAGAGGAGTTTTAAGATTCTAATGGGTCTCTGGCTGATTGGTTTTTTGGAAAAAATACAGAATTTCTACATTCTGAATGTTTTTGATTCATTTAAATGAAGGATGAAAACTGATCAAACATGGAGTGTTTTTAAAATGATCCTAATCTCTAAACATCAGAAGCTTAAGCAGAGCTGTCCTGAAGGAAATGGATGTTTAGAAGTTTGCTTGGCTAAATAGTCCAAAGGATGAAGGAAGAAGTTAAAGGGCAAAAACATCCAGAAGCAGCTAGAACAGTTAAGAAGAACCAGGAGGACATTAGAGCTGAATCAGCATCACAGGATGAGGACATCTTGACTCACACAGCCTTTCTGCAGTTCTTTACAGCTGGAACCAGTCTACGTCGTCCATCATCTGATGCGTTGTACTTCTTCAGGTCCAACTCATCCAATACCTCATCCATCATTTGCAGCATGTAGGCCAGAGCTGAGCACTGGATCTCTGAGAGCTCCTTCCCTGATTTCAATAACTGCTGGAGCTCATGACAAAGTGAGAGGTCGTGCATCTCCAGACGACAGTGGAAGATGTTGATGCTTCTATCAGGAGAGATATCATCATCAGTGTTCATCTTTGTCAGATTGCTGATGACTCTCTTGATGGTTCCTGCACTGTTTTTTCTCCAACCCAGCAGGCCTCCTAAGAGGCTCTGGTTGGACTCCACTGAGAGGCCATGAAGGAAGCGAGCTAACAGGTCCAGGTGGCCATTTTTACTGCTGAGGGATTTCTCCATGACTCTCTTCAGGAAATCCTCCAGAGACGAGCAAATGTAGAAAAAACCGAAGAAGTTCCTGAGTACTTTAGTGTTCCTACTGGTGAAACATTGGAACAAGTAGACTGCAGCCAGAAACTCCTGGAAGCTCAGATGAACAAAGCAGTAGACTGAGGTGTCAACCATTCCTTTCTCCTCTTTAAAGACCTCAGTGAACACCCCTGAGAACCAGGAAGCATCTTTGATGTTGATGCCACACTTTTCCAGGTCTTGTTTATAGAAGATCAGGTTTCCTTTCAGCAGATGCTTAAATGCCAGTTTTCCAAGAGACTGAACCATCTTCCTGATATCTGCATCTTCTCCAGCATTTTCTCTTAGATAGTTTTCTTCCTTCTTTTTACTCTGAATCATCAGGAAGCGGATGTACATCCCAGTCAGGGTCTTGGGCAGATCTCCTCCATCTCTGGTCTCTAACAGACCTTCCAGAACATCAGCAGTGATCCAGCAGAAGACTGGGATGTGACACATAATGAAGAGACTTTTTAATGTCTTGACATGGGAGATGATCCGGCTGACCTTCTCTTCATCTTTGCACCTCTTCCTGAAGTACTCCTCCTTCTGTGTGTCAGTGAAACCTCTGACCTCTGTCACCATGCCAACACACTCAGGAGGGATCTGACTGGCTGCTGCAGGTCGCGTGGTTATCCAGAGGAGAGCCGAGGGAAGCAGTTCCCCCCTGATGAGGTTAGTCAGCAGAACATCCACTGAGGTGGACTCTGTCACATCATTCAAAGTCATGTTGTTCTTGAAGTCCAGAAGAAGTCGACTCTCATCGAGACCGTCTAAGATGAACAGAATCTGGAATTGTTCAAAGCTGCAAATCCCTGCATCCCTAACCGGCTTAAAGTGTTTATGAATCAGTCCCACTAGGCTGAACTTTTCCTCTTTTAGAACATTCAACTGTCTGAAGGTGAATGGAAATATGAACTGGATGTTCTGGTTGGTTCTGCCTTCAGCCCAGTCCAGAGTGAACTTCTGTGTTAAGACGGTTTTCCCGATGCCAGCCACACCCATTGTCATCACAATTCTGATCCGATCCCTTCTTCCATGTGTACGGAAGATGTCTTCTGGCCTGATTGTTGTTTCTGGTCTATTTTTTTTCCAGGATGTTGCTGCAATCATCCTGACCTCATGTTCATCATTGACTTTTGTAGTCTTTCCCTTTGTGATGTAGAGCTCTGTGTAGATTTCATCCATAAAGGTTTTCTCTCCAGCTTTAGCAATGCCTTCATAGACACATTCAAACTTTACCTTCAGAGACACTTTAAGGTCATGGTGACATTGATCATTGACATCTGAATGAGGAAAAAAGGGCATTTCAGAAAGACAAAAATAATTGAAACAATTTCTGACATTCTCTTGGGGGTCTTTCTATTTCTATGGAAGAAACGTTGTTTTTTATAAACAGGTGTCAAACCTAAGAGGTATTTCTTGACTCTAACTAGGGTTATCATGCAGAGAGTGTGTAGGGTTGTAAAAATAAAAAAATGCACTAGAAAAGCTCTTAATGTTGGGGCCATCTTTTTGCTAGCACTATGGATTCCCACATTTAATAGTCTGATAATCAGATCATTCACATCGACTATAAACATGTTGTAGTTCTACTAATGCTGTTTACATTGTTCTATCTGTAGGCATCATCTAGTGTCAATAAAAGTAATACAATAAATAAATATTTATGCAGTTTATTTAGAGCTAAATGTTTAATGTGGTTTATATTCTTTGTTTCCAACGGCAACAGCAATATGCAAAATGCATGTGAAGATTGTGACAGCCAGACAGAGGTATGTGAACGAAATCACAGGGAAATCCTATTCTAAGATTTGGCTGGTTTACGTATATCCGAAAGATTAGGGGGACACCATCAGAAGCAGTTATGCCATAAGTGGTTATCAAAGTAACCATTCTCTAGCATGATACATTTTTTGACATACCTGAAATTCTGAAAACCTGTAGTGGTATAACACAAGTGACTGGCAGAAGAGCAGTTATCAAGTCATTAGATGGAAAATTAGTTTTCCAAACCTTCTTTCACCCAATCCCAACAACAGGGAAGATAAAACCTCCCTGTTGGGTTGAATGGTTAGGGCATAGAGCTTGGAGTCCTGAGGTCCTGAGTTTGAAACCCATTCCCACAGACTGCCACTCTGGGTCCCTGAGCAAAGCCCCACACTGCTACCCGGGTAACACACAATGGCAGCCCACTGCTCCCCAAGGGGATTGGTTAAATAGAGAGAGTTTATTTTGCTGCTCTTTACTTGTACCAGTGTAATGACATAAAAGCTGGGGGAAAAAAGTACCCACTGCGGAAGCTACCTTTCACCATTGTCATGGTAAATGGTGAAATGTGCTGTGTTGTCAGCAGCTTTGACAACACAGAGCTGCTGAAATACCACCCCTTAATCCAAGTGCAGATATATTGTTATATTTTTGCTGATAGGGCAAAACATTTGGAAGAGCTCAAAAAGTAAGGAAAAAATTATCGGCAGACACAATGACCCCTTTGTACAGAAGCTCTACCTAGAGTTGTTGAATATAAACAATTTAACACAATTTTGTTGAACACAAACAGAATTGAATTGAATTAAATAAGCTAAGTGAAGTGAAGACCTTAATAACTCATTTATAAAACAATGGTCACCTAAGGTATCTCCCTCCCTGTAGCGCCCAGTTCCATGTAAAGATTACTTTACTTTGGTACAGGCCAATGCCATTTACAATCAGCTGTCTTCTGTTCCCTCTTATTAAAAAGCCACAGCTGAGAATTTAGAGAGAGACTGTATTTTTTTTGCACCAATAAAGACAACAAGCTTGCTCAATCTTTTTTGAGAATAATGTCAGGATTCTTTGAAGACGGGTCTTACCAAAGACATAGTAGACTATTGCATAAGGGAGCATGTCTTCGGAAACAGTCCCTTCCCAAGAGCCCATCTATGGGCTGAGAATGGCAGCAAAAGAGGCTGAAAGCAGATATGGAACTGGTGCATGAAACTTCATAGAGCAAGACCTCAGTGTAGACCACGCATTTAAGTCTTTCGAAGCTACTACTGAGGCCATTGTTGTCCTGCAGAGAACACAGAAAATGCTTCCAACAAAGTGGAAGTGTTGAAGGCATTCCCCTCTGAGGAGAGAGCCAAAGATATCAAGGAACTTGATTTAATAAGTTTTTTAAGTTTTTTAAGCAGTTTTTTTATTAAAAAAAAACTGCCGGTTCAATGCAGCTAAGGAGTTAGAATCCCTCTTTAGGGGGGTCATGCAACCTGTGTCTGGGATTACACCTTGCTCGGGATGATGCATCTCCAGGACCGGCTCTGGACCCCTATTGCCGCCTCTGGGTCGGACGCTTCTATGACCTCTGTGCCCTGTCCCTGGCCTCAGGGTTCCTTATCAGGGTTGGAAGGGTAGATGGCTCCTTGGAGAACCCTGTTCCTCCGTTCTTTGCTCCCCATCTCCGATGCGTTTCTTAACCTGCTCTGTCACACTACCAAACACATAGGATCTTGGGGATGAGATCATCACCAGGGTGGGTCTTCCCATGCTGGTGATGGCTTGTGCCCCAGTTTTAATAACCACCTAAAGCTTGATTTATGCTTGACACGTCCGCAAGGTCTGAGCAGCCAGAACTGATCATCCTGGAGAGAAATATCAGCTGCGCTACTGCCATCAACAACTTTGTTTATAGATCGGCCTGTTTTTCAGTGTAGTCCAGTTTCTCTGACTGTGACTAAATGGATGTGCTCTCTTCATCCTCTGACATGGGAGCTGGCTCAGAGCTCGTCTGCCTGGCTGTGTGTTTCCTGGACGGGGCCGCCTTTTATGGCTGCTTTTTGTATCTCTGCTTCTGTCTCCTTGAACCCCAGGCAGCCTCGGCACATGGCCGCTCACACTGAGCCTGGTTCTGCTGGAGATTTCTTCCTGTTATAAGGGAGTTTTTCCTCTCCACTGTCGCTGCAAGCATGCTTAATGTGTGGGATCGCTGAAGAGTCAATGAGCCGACACAATCAGCTGGTTTTCTTAGATAGAAAACTTTGAATCAATTTGACAGTATAATCTGGTGAACTGTAAAGTGTGTTGAAATTACATGTGTTGCATTATATGTATAAACTGAATTGAATTTAACTTAATTTTTTTCTGCCTGTTGTTTTTACATTTCCTCGGAAAGTCCGTACTTTCCTGTGTTCTTTTCAAGAACATACTTGGCAAGGACACAAGACCGTACTCACAATCTTATAAATTGAGAAACGGCCAGTGATTTCAGACTCTCCTCTCCTCCTGTAGATTCGACCGATGCAGTAAAATGCTAACCAACCAATGGGCAGAAATTGAGCCTCAAAGACACAATTCTCCTCATTTGCATAATGAGGCAGAAATGTCAGCAGAAACGTAAAAATGACAGGCAGAAATAAATAGTATTGAATAAATAAATAGGGTAAAAAAAAACTCAAATGAAGAATAAAACAGACAAAAATATAACATGCACATAAATACTTAAAAAATTTGTAATTAATAAATAAAGTTGAAGATTCTAATCGACAATAAATAAATAAGGTAATTACTACAAAAGCAAATAAATAAAGAAGCTAATTGAACGAGATATATACTTTATGTCTCACTGTATAATTAAATTTCTACCTACATTTATTTGTTTATTGGATTTTTGGGGGCAATTAATTGTATGCTTATTTATTTATTGAGCATTTATTTATTTTTATATTTATTTTTAAATATGGTAAAGCTGGTCCTCCATAATCAGATGCCTTAGGTTAATAAAATTTGCTGCACAGTAATGATTATTATCTAAGACTTCAATCATGTTATTTACAACATTTTGTAGTTGCTGTGACTGCACTGTGCCGCTTCCTGAAACCAAACTAATGACTGGAATATGCATGTTCTTGCTATTGGGAGTTCATTTTTAGGGATTAATTTCTGTTTGAAGTAACTCTTCATTGTTTGTCTGTCACAACCTGCAAAAATGTTATTAATTTTATTTTACAAATGTAACCAGCCTTTTGACTCAATCCATTTGTTCTTACTTTTTGCTGTTTTGTTTTTCTGAAATTGCACAGAACTACATCCACATAACTTGAAATTACTACCTCTTGTTTTCATTAACATTTTAGGCTCCTTAAAGAACATTTCTCTGATACTGCTTTGGTAGCTTCAGTCAGATTGCCTAGCCCTTATCCATTACACAAAACAGAATATATATCTCAGAATTTTTAACTTTTTTCTTAAAATAAATACAGGTGTTAGTTGATCTCGTGAAATTTGAGCAGACAGATTCAATCTGCATTTAGAATTGGGAAAAAAGACATAAGGCTCTGCTAAGAAAACAGCAAAATGGAATTTGTTTGGACTCACGTGGCTGAACAGAAGAATAAGAGGACAAACCCAGCTGATATGATAATGTAGGATCTATGAGCTGAAGACGTTGGATCATCTTTCTGCAGGCCTCCTCTCCTTTCTTTATCACATCATCTATAATGCAGCGGGCCTTGTTTGCTGTGGCTGCGTTCTCGTCAAGTATTCCCTGTTTCTCCAAAGTATTAAAAACACGATCTGTGCGAAGGCCATCAAGGAGCTGAATGAGGACCTCTAAAGAAACCCTCTTCACAAGCTCAGGGCGAACATCAAACAGCTTTTGCACTGCATGCAGAAATCAGAGACAGGATTTATTTAAGCTGAAGGGAGACATAAAGAGCACATAAACCCGTTGCCCCAAACAGCCTGAGTAAATAATGACTTACAGGTAAATAAAGTCATGGTTTGTTCAATATCAGCTACTAAATCAATCTCATTGCATGTCAATAACCTGATAAAACCTAATTTCAGGTAAGAACAGTATAATTAGAACTGTTTCAGCTCTGATCACTTACCCCAATTCTGCTGGACTTCTTGCTGCCCCTCCTCTGAAAGTTTCTCCATCTTTTCCCTGAAAAGGATAAAATTAATATGAATTAATCATGTTTAAGGCTTTCTTTAAAAAATATGCTTTTCTTTATTCCCATTAATTTAGAATAAAAACTAAAACTTCTGAAATAAAACCTTTGTTTCCCACCTGTTCTTAGGTCTCTTTAGATCAGGGCATGATGTGCTGCAGTGTAAGCTATTTTAGCCAACTTCATGTTGCCATTAAGATTTTAGTATGGTAAGTTCCTAGTTCCAGAGCAGCTCAGGTCCTGGTGAAATATAGACCTATACATTGGCTGACCTATATTTTGGGTTGATATTGGCAGAATTTTTTATTTTTTTTATTTTTTTACAAAAAAATTCATGCATTCTCAATTAATTGGTGCATTTGGCAGCCAAGCATTAAGATCATGCAAATTGCTGCTCCCTCCTGCTTTTCATTTGTTATGAAGCAGTTTACAGATAACAAAAAGTTCCCAGTTTGAGCAAAAATCTGAACACAAACCACCACAGCAACCTCTGTTTTAACAGATCAGAGGTTCTATAGAACCACAATTAATCAACACATTTATTGCTGCTGAAACTAAAAAGAGCAGGAGACACCAAGCTGAATTAACCCTCTGTGTGAGCAGAGAACCAATCAGAGTTCATGTTTCTTTCTCCTCACAGAGAGAAAAACTCACTAAATAACAGTAAAGCTAGATTCAAATTTGAATTTACCTTGAATATCTGTCAAAAAGCAGTTTAATCCACCTGATCTTCCAAAACAAAGATATCCTGAGCTTTGTTTTCCTCTTCTATACCTGCTTCTGTGTAAGATGAGAAAGAGGAAGCACTCAGCCCATCCTGTCCTCATTTACAGGAAGTGGGTTAATCTCTGACGGTTACTAAACATATTCTTAAGGACAATGACCAACATTCTGGTTATTTAATGGACACATTTATCCTCAAGGAGACACAATGATTGCCTTTGTTAATTAGGTGAAATTTTTCTGGAGTGCTGATTTTTTTTTTTTTTACATAATGTAGATACTATATTAGACACCTTGGAAACTGCTGCACTAAATATTGTTTCTATCATGGGACGGTTCCTCTATTTTATCTCTAAGTAACAGTATTGTCAATTTTTTTTACTAAAAATCAGAACATTTCTAGTTAATCTCATTCTTTTCATGAATTCTTCCTCCTTTCTGCTCCTCCCTCCAGTTCTCAGTTCCTCCTGCTGTCTTTTGATGAAATAAAAACAATCTTCCGTTTCTTCATCCATCTCATATTTTCTGCAATTGCCTCTTCAGGTTAAGGTTGTTGATTCCTCCTTCTCAGATTTACTGATATGTTCTGTAAAGTTCTTCCTGTAGGCGGGTTGAATGCACTACTTTTGTAGGTCTTTTTTATAGCTCCATTATATAATTATTACAGACATCCTAAGTTCCAAAAACTAATTTCAGGGAGCCCCCCATCAAAAATTTTTCATGATGGGTATTAAGTTACTAGCCCACATGCAGAACACACTCTGAGACAGGGGAAAAAGTTCAAAGGTTTATTATGAAACACACAGGTTAAACACTGAACAGGTTCTGGGAAAGGACTGGTCATGACAGGTTTTCACTGCAGAGGGGGACAGAATGGTTAGCAGAAGTCCTGGTAATCTTGCTGGTTGAGTGAGCGCAGGTTTGTACCTGTTCTGAGGTTTGAGCAGATCACCCAGATAGCAAAATTCTTTTGGTCCATATCTGGCCCACATCTGACATGTTCATCCGGTCCACATACCGCATGGAATGATGGCACTTGGGAGGTCCGCTCCTGTATGCCAGAAGTGGGCCACAACAAAGCCGACACAATGCCAAAAGTCAACCAAAAACAGGCCAAATCAGCCAGCACTAAACCAAATGTGGGCCGATGTACACTTTTATTCTGGCCCAAGTATGGCATGGAATGATGGCACAAGTGTGGTCCACAGTTGTTTGCCAGAAGTGGGCCACAACCAAGCCAACACATTGCCAAATTTCAACCAACATCAAGTAAAGCAGAACTCACCCAAATGTGGGCCACCACTGTACATTTTTATTCTGGCCCACATCCCACATGGAATGATGGCACAAGTGTGGTCCACAGTTGTTTGCCAGAAGTGGGCCACAACCAAACCAACAGTGCCAAATGTCAGTCAGAAATAGACCAAATAAACCACCACTCACCCAAATTTGAGCCACTATGCATTCTTATTCTGACCCACCTACCAAATGGAATGACCACACTTATTTCTCACATATGACCCACAGCCTAGTCATAATGCTACATATCAAACAAGAGCAGAATACATTAGAACTCACTCAAACAGGTTTACAGTCTACAATCTTGTCTATCCTGCACACTTTGGAGTCACAAACAAACCATGACAAAATGTTAAATATAAACACATCGTATGAATAAACCAGAACTGGTCTGAATTTGTGGCTGAATGTCATTATGGTACCTTCAGATACTTTTAAATGGTGGCATGCAGTGGTCCAGCCTTGTTGGTCTCAGGATCAAAGATATAGATACCTACTGAAGAATTAACTAAATAACCACACAAGAAACAATTTGTGAACAGTAGAGATTCTTTTTTATTCTTTTTTACTCATGTCACAAAACAGGCAAAACAAAACAAGCATTTAGATGAACATGAATATTCAGTCAAAATGCAGAACACTGCTGTTGACCTCCAACGCTCACTCCAAAAAAGTCATGGCCCCAACATTGTTTCATCTTCATCTGGCCCTTTAAGAAATGCACAAAAGAACATATTTTGTTGACTCAGTAAAGCAGTACTGTGGTTATATGGTTGCAGTGAAGTAAAAAAATCTTATCAGGAGACCAAACATAAAAGGCCCTGTAAAGTGATATGCTATAAAGATGTACAATATAGTGTTTAGGGATGGGCACAATTAATCGATGATCGATAATAGATCATTAAGAATTTTTTCGATCATGTAGTTTGTTTGTTTTTTCGATCATCTAACGGTGTTATAAAACACTGTTTATAGTTCATTCATATAGTGTACGTCTTGAATCTATGTAATACATGTCACAATGTGCCAGGTAATTAAATATCCGACCAGCGGGGGGCGATGTTGACCAAAGACAGCAGAGAAGCCTGAAGTTACAGTAATAAAACATACTGTACACTGTAACGATAAGCGACGATAAAAACTTCCAGCAAAATATTTTGTATTATAAATCTGTCACTAAATTCTGTCTTGAAAGCCCTACAAAATACTAGAAACCACTAAACTATATCAATTAAGTTCAAGTACTGCACCTGTACTGCAAAACTGTAGTGATACCAATCAACTAACTTTTCTTATTAAAAAAACATAAGTGGTGCAACTGCAAACACAACCTGATAAATAGTCATCTCATGATAAAAAAAAAAATAAATTCAAATTGTTATTGTGGGGAATTTCTTTGACGATATATCGCACACAATAAAATATCGCCCATCCATATAAAACGTACAGTATTGTACGTAGGTATTGTAGCTGACTTACCTGCGAGCTGTGTGGAACGCCTTTTCTCCTCTCTCTTTCTCCTTCCACCATCCCTGTCTCCGGCGAGATGAAGCCACCTTTTTATATAAGCCTCCACCTCCTGGTCTGTTGCAGTGGCTGTTAACTGATTGTTTCTGACTGTTCCTAAAAAAATAGAAAACTGTAAAGCTTTGAATACATTGCACACAATAGTGAGAAATTGGCTAACTGCATGACATGCTATATCCTGCCCATAGTTGGACAGCAATGAATGTAGTTTGAAAACAGTCTAGCCATGACCAGCTAATTACTAAACTGTAGGAGGAAAAGTGATTGCAGACCAGAGCATCTTAGAACAGGGGACAGATAAACAGCTGGAGGAGATGATGAAGCACATAGTTATCGAAATTTTTATTAAGGTGCAGATCACTGATACTTTGGCGCATAGTAGCCTGTGCCTTCTCTAGAGTCTCTTCTTCAAGTCTGCAAGTCTCTGAATCGACTTGGAGCATGATAAAACAGCCCTCACTATTTGCTTGTCACTGAGAGACTTGGTTTTGCAGATGCAGCAAAAAAAACAAGCAATGGCATCCTATTAGAATACAATAGAATACTGTCTGCTACCACACTGATACATAATCATCCACACATGCATTTTGATAAATTGATATGATTAATTTCAGCACCCATATCTACTCACAAGCATGAAAGAAAATGAAGAAAGGATTTATAAGACACATCACTAGGAAATATAACCCACAATTAACACTTACCAGTGATTACATCTTTTAACTGGAGGCTGTGGAATGCCGTTTTCCCATTCACGCCACGCCAGTTAAGTTGTTTGGCCAGGGAGTTGGTGAATAGATTTTTCATAATCCGCCACACTGTGTCCTTGATATCAACTCCACCGATGACACTCAAAGCAGCAGTCTCAGAAAAAAAAAGAGAACATACATGATCAACACAAGCAGAATTAAACTTTTAACATCTTGTTCAAAAAAAGTTAAGATGTCTGTAAATAAGGAGGAATCGTCACAAAAAAGCCATTTCATGCTCAAAGGGAGGGTCTGACTAATGTTTGGTAACAAAACATTGGTGAAATGAAGGAGTTTGTGGCAGATAATGATTATTTAGAGGCTGCGCTGATCTGTAGTGGATCTATGGCTCTGTTCGAAAACCTAGGACGCATCCTTAGAAGACCGGATTCGAAGGCCGATTACGTCATAGCGCGGCGCCATGGTCTGGTCGGATTCCAAGAGTCCTCGTTATGCGGCCTTAAAATGCGTCCTTCTTTTTGCCCGATTTGAAGGACGGGTCCGATGTATCCTCGGTATTCTTGGATATCCCAGGATTCATTGCGAGACCAAGCAAGCTGTGATCAGAGGAAAGGTTACTTGGCGCCGAACAGTGGTGAAAATTGGAAGTTCAGTTTAATATAATACAAGTCATTTAATAGTTCCGTCTGAAATGAATGAAAATAGTTGTTTTAATGGTTACTGAGTCAGATATGTGGCGGTAATGTTTGGTTTATCTAAAGGTTTTAATCTGTTACTGTGTAAATGGGTTTGGCTGGAATTAAAGGACAGATTCTAATATATCTGCAGGGGGGGACTATAAATCTGATAGGAGTTTTATCTTTTTATTGCTGTTTTTTCACAATATGCTTAACTTCGTATTTTTTGTTGTTGAATATTAGAGATTTTGCAGATATATTTTTTTATAAATACATTGTTTAGATTTACTTATATCTTTCTACCCCTTTTATAGAATAGAAAATCCCTTTATTTTCCCACAATGGGCAAATTTACAGCAGCAGAAAGATTATTGAAAATGGTCACACAAATGAGGACCTTAGAAAAATGTATAAGAATAAAATAATAGGAAGAGTTAAAATATAAACAATAAAATACTGTAAAGTGTTTTAACAATATAAAACTGGAGAATAAATAACCAATATGCAGCTATGGACATTTTTACAGTATTGGATATTTGAAAATAGCAGCAACATCAGAGATGTGCAGAATGACAGCAGCAGGTTATTTAACTGACTAAGGTTTCTATCATTACATTTGATTTTTTTATTTGTTCCTGCTCCCGGTGGTTGGAACCTTTATTCCATTCTGGATTTTTGTGAGTGTAGTCTTTGTTCACTTCACAATAAAAAAGAAATAAATAAACAGTTTTGAAAACTTCTGTATTCATTCTTTTCCTGCTTTGTGTGTCAACGTTCACGGTTGCTAAGCAACAGAGCATACGGCGGTAAAACCCGCCGAAGGGTAGACCTGGTCGAATTCACAGCCAAAACACTTCCGGTCTCCTTATTTTCAAGGACTTCGAAGGATCCAGTCTAGGTAGACCGCGTCCTTGGAGGACCCGTCCTAGGTTTTCGAACAGAGCCTATATATCCCCTGAAGGAATTTAAGTTGCACAAAAACTGTCTGGGCAAGGAAATGAACGTATTTCATGCTAGAAAATAGTTCCAGGTTGAAAAAAAACGAATAAGGAAATTCACCTTTAAGCCAGCTCCTTTGTTTCCTTTCTTTCATTACTGGACAAACTGACTAATCCAGGTGTGCCTGACCTCAGTAACTGGCCAGACACACCTGGATTAATCAGTTTGTCCAGTAATTAAAGACAGAAAACAAAGGTGATGGCTTAAGTTTGGGAAGTTCTGGAGTTGTGAATAGAGCCCATTTATGGTCAAAGCTAACAATTTATGTACTCACACTGTACAGTCTGATCATCAAACACGACCACAAAGCTCACACTTTATGGATGAAAAATGTCCAAAGACTGACTGCTCTGTCTATTGACAGCTGTCAGTAAATATTTATTTCAATAAATCAATACATTTTCAGTGAAGTCATCTCAGTGTGCTATGAATTATTTTTTTTTTACCTGAGATATCCATGTAACCAGCTGATCTTCATTTTGGATGTGCAGGATGAATTTTGTTTCCCACAGATGTACAAAACATGTATCCAAACACTCTTTAGTTTAGAATAGTCTTCACTTAAATAAAAAAAAAATCTAGCAGAAACACTAACACTCACAAAATAGTTCTAGAGTGAGAAATGCATTGTTACCATTTTCTGTTTAAAGTCCGCCTCCTCCCTGACCCGCTTCTCCAAAGCCAGTAAAGAGCTGATATCCTTAACTGGGAGGACATCTTTTTCAAGGACCTCCTGCCCACCAACAGGTTGTCCATGGATCTTGTTCAGGGTCAGGGTAATAATTTTGATCTGCTCCATGATAAGCTCTTGGTTTGTCAGGAGCCTACAAAGAAGAGCTAAAACAACATACAATAAAATAATTAAAAAGGAAGAGGCATTGGAAGATGAAAAAAATTGTGAGACAGAGAGGGTATGTGCATTAGTGTACAAATACAATCACTTACGAGCAAGGTTTGAAGCACCTGCAGCTGACAGTTCATTGCCCCGACTGGTCCCTGGTTGTTGTGGGCTAGCATTGGGCAGTGGTCTTGCCACTGATGCAGGTCGTTGGGGGCTAGGGGCCCTTCTCTGTGTTACACTGAAGTCTGGCCGTTGAATTTTGGGGGCTGCAGGAAGTGATGATTTTGGTGCAGGTGAGTCGCTGTCACTGTCGCTTTGAAAGCGCATGTTTGGTCTAGTGTGTGCGTATAGGGGATTTGGATGGGGAGAGGAAGAAATTGAAAGTATAAAACATTTGTAATTGGTAAGTTGTTGCACTGAACTTGTATTGCTTTAGGTATAGCACACATCAGACTTCTTAGCCCTATTACTTTCATTAGCAAGGGCAGGAGAATACCTTCAGTAATCACTCACTACACATGAGTAAAAAACCTTATGAGAAAGAAGATAATTGCATCTGATGATACACATTAATCTAAGACCACTACACCAAACTCTACACTATAGGGAGTCCGGTGTAAGTTGAGTTCCTTCTCATATTCAGGATCACTACATTAAAACAACAGGCTCTATGCACAACTCCACCACTTCCTGAACTTCAGGAGGCTCCTTTGTTTCATGTCTTTCATGATTGGATGCACTGATTAATCCCAGTGTGTATGACCTAAGTAACTGGCCAGACACACCTGGATTAATCAGTTCGTCCAGTAATGAAAGACTGGAAAAAAAGGAGCTGCCTTAAATTCAGGAAGTAGTGGAGCTGTGCATAAAGCCCATTGTAGTCACTGCAAATAATTACTCTGTATACATTTCAGGGTGTTGTACATTCCTACAAACAAGTAAGAGTGGTACCAGGGTGTGACAGTAGATAATATACTGTAGCCTCTTCAAAAAAAGCGGTCTGGTGGCACAGCTTACCCCACGTATTGGATAAGGGTTTTTTTTTGTTTGTTTGTTTGTTAACATATGGGATACGTTGCCCATAGCAGGGTATGTTGAGCCACCCCTGTCCACTAGGGCTGGGTACCGAACTTCGGTTCTTTTATGGTACCGACCGAAATGCTTCGGTTCTACAGAGTATCGAAACATGCCTCGGCTTTCGGTACCAAGTTTCGGTGATTGGCTGTAACACTTAACGTGATTGCATCATCCAGGAAAAATACACAGGTGGTCCCGCCTACAGCCAGGGTTCATGTGTATCTGTTGTGAACTAGTTGCGAGCATCGTGGAACCCCTTTAAAATGCCCCCCAGGTCAAAAGTGTGGCTTCACTTTATTAATACTGATGCTAATAGTGCGCAATGCAATACATCGTGCACGGAAACAATTTAAGAGCAGAAAGTTGCTCGGTGTTTGACTGCAAGAAGAGTGGACCGCAGCCAGCGCGACCATCCTCCTCTCAGCAGCCCGTGGGCGGAGCAAAGCCAGAGCGGAGTGAATAATGCTGCTTTCAAACTGGATGCAGCAGGAGCAGCAAAATCACGTCTGCTGCTTCCTTTTTTGCTGCTTGTACCAGCTTCTGACGCGCGGCTGAAGAAGCTTTGCTGCTCTGGCTGCGCGGTCGAAAAGTGGCTCTGACGCGCGTTGGGCGGAGCTACTCTATCCTTTATTTGCCTTGCAGCTATATTTGCTGTGATCAGTGGGAATAAAGTAGTTTTATTATGTTTTTAAGTGGGAAAATCCACCTGAAAACGTAATCAGTGCAGTCAGTTCATCCGGCCTTCCAATATTTCTGTCGGAGCCACTCAGACCCCCACATACCAGCGGTGCGCTGTCAATAGGATCCCATTCAACGGGCTTGTTTTTCCGACATGGTAATTTTTCTAAAGGAAAACTGCTAAGTAAAAAGGTCCTCACAATGTAACAGTGAATATTAGACACTCATTTTTTTTTTTTTTTTTTTTATGTAAGAGGAAAAATGTAAATGGAAAAATCAGAGCTTAAAATAAAACTCAAGATTTGTACTTTTTTATGTTGTGTAATTTTCTTTTTCTTCAAATTGATATTATAAAACTGGTATCGAAAAAAGGATCGTTCAGGAACCGGTATCGAAGTGAAGGTATCGGTATTGGTACCGGAACCGAAAACTTTTGAACAATACCCAGCCCTACTATCCACCCCCTTTATCCATCTCCCACCCCCACTTCTAACAATATTCCACCTGTCCAGGTTGCAGATGAACACAAAACCAGGGACCTGTTTCTGAGCTATCAACTCACTGAGATTTTATAATTTTTTGGGGGTGGGTGGGGGGTAATTTTGACATTACTTTGCAAGAATCCATTCTCTTCCTCTCTGAAAGTAACGCTTGGCTTACAAGAAACAACATTGCCTGTTTTAAGGTACATACTGTAATCATAATCCAGAATCATGTTGTAATAAGCTGAAATACATTCATTATTCAGTGTATAGGACAAGTGGCTCAACTCATCCCACAGCTACTTTATGGACTTTATTCCTCCCCGCAGCTGAAAGGGTCCATTTTCACACAGGTTTACCACCTCATAGATACCATGACTCGTGTATAAAACAAATTTATAATTCTATCTAAACACAACTCTCATATCACTTGATTATTGACTGGATTCACTCTCAACAGTGAAAATGTTTTGTTCTCATTTTTGGACATACAGTACCACTTTTATAGTTCTTGCCTTTACATTCTCCATGAAATTATACCATTATCCTAAATATTTGGTCACATGTTCATTTTTTTCCTTAAGGTTTCCTAGCAACAATTGGCGGTTAAACTTGTCCCTAGGTTCAACTTACCCAGGTCTCCCCAACTAAGTGATTTTTCTACAACATAATGTGAATGAATAAAGAGATTCAGTTTTCAAAGCTAAATATTATACTTCAGCCTCAAAACATGGCATCCTGTGTAGTTGGTGTTTACAGCTCCAGTGGTTGTACCTTGATAGTCATCAATATCACATAAGTAATGGTATTATAATATTACTTTATGTATAACACTGTATGAATTTATATGAATTGCATCAGCAAACGACTTACTTTCTAAAATAAACTGAATTAGAAATCACTCTAAGTGAGATGGTAGTTATTGACAGTGGATAATGAAGTAATAATTCTTAATATCTCACAAATATAGTGCTGTAGTGGCTTTGAATGCTTACAGTCTTTTTCGCTTTCTCTGTGGTATGTCATCATCTTCTTCTGCTGTCTGTAGGTCGGTGTGGGTTTCTGCCTGGGGAAGTTTGAGGCGGGCAGTTGTGTATTTTGCTGTAAATAAAGAGATTTAGATAGAATTACTCTAATAGTGTATTTTTTTTTTAATGACTGAATTCAGGTATGTGGTGATGTGTATACCTGCTTTATATAAAATCCTAACTCTGAACTCTTCCCAAGATGATTCCGGCTGTTCTGCATTTTTTACAGCCTTTACCAAATCTTCAGGGTTGTAGTAAGAGGGCCACTGACAAATGTCATCAGCCACCCAAGCTGCTGGCACCACCTCGACTTCTTGGGTCTCTACAAATTCAACAATGTAAAACATTGCCTAGAAGAGGAAGAGGATACAACAACACAAAGATAATTTTAGAAATACTAGACAAACCCATACACATTCCCAACTGAATATTAAAAAAAAATTGGAAGACCGTCAATATTCAATTGCAATTTAAAGTTGTGACTATCTGGAACAATGAATGCAAGTCTCTGAAATATTTTAGTGAACATATTCTGTATCCCAAAATAGTGGAATGATCCACCTGCCAAGGGTCTAACAGCATGGCAAACCTGTGTCTTTAACAATGTTCTGGCATCTTTGGGCAAAGAAGGATGATGAACTTTTAGAATAGACAAGAGGGCAGACAAAGCAATCAGGGAAATCCCAAACTGTGTACTCCAGTCTCTCAAGCAACTTGCTAAATCCCTTGTGTCATGAACATCATTTCTGTCATCGTCATCATCACAACTTAATCCACCATCTCCGCTGTCTATGTCAAAGTTTGGTGGTGAATCAGCGATTGCCTCCGAGGTTGAAGGAATCACTTCATCCTGAAAACTGCACTCTTCGTCACTGTCAACCTCAAGCTCATGCTTGTCATTTAAAGAGTCAAAGAACTGTTTAACTCTTTTGACAGCTTTTTTCCTTAAATTACAGCGTGTGGTATTACAGGATCACTAACCTATTTGTTGTTTAGCAATTTGTGCAGCTCAGCAGCAGAATGATACTCTGAAAGAGAAAGAAATGAACAAGCATTACACATTGGTACGTCATATATCAGTACATTTGTTTATTTATCTGACAGGGACAGTGCAAAGGTAAACGGCATGAGGGCAAGGTGTGCATTTGTAAAAAAAAAAAAAAAAAACTGTGTTTCTCCAGAGATTCCTACCTTTAATGAGTTCAATCGTTTCTGCCACCACCAGATTTCTGTAACAATATTGTAAAATTCATCATAACAGTATAATACACTGTTGTTAAAATGTATAATGTATAGGGATGCACAATATAATCAGCCGCTATCGATATTGGCCTAAAGTGAGTGTCGGACATCACCCCACCGATATTTAACCGATATTCAACCGACCAGCCCACTGTTTCAGTGTATCAGTATTTTTTTCCACACTATTTTTCAAAGTGTTGGAAACGGATAACAAACTGTTTGCAATCACTACTTATTTTTTCAGCTTTAATATTGGTATCAATATCAGTTATCGGCCACAAGTTTTAAAATATCAGCATATCGGATATCAGCCAAAACTCCAATATCGTGCATCCATAATAATGTAGCACTGCGTCTTTTTCCTTCACAAAAATAAAGTCATACAAACAAAAAAGTCATTCACATTTTGCTTTAGAAAAATAGAAATTATGTATTTATTTTCCTAGGGATGTAGTTGAAGCCGAATCAAAGAAATGCAAGGTCTTTTTTTTTTTTTTTAAGCAAAATATGAATGCCAAAATATGCTTACACTGGCCACTGAATTGCTCACAACACAGCATTCTTTTGGAAGAGCATGCAAGTTCAAACAATGCATAATAGTACATAAACTGAATAATTATAACAGTTAACCATTCTAATTTCTTTCCAAGTTCAATCTAAACTATTTTCTTGTCAGTATACAACATCTAACCAAGGGTGAAAGTAGTTTTAAATTCTTGCCGGTACTGACTGACACATTAATCTATCTTAGGGCTGGGCGATATAGAAAAAAAGCTTATCGATAAAAAAAAATGCATATTGATCGATATCGATAATTATTGAAAAGATTTGAAACCATATTTTATGTGCAGCTCTGCCTGGACTTTTTATAATATTGCTAAATGATTTAATTTTTTTTTTTTTTTTTTTTCCAAACATTTTTTATTAGTTTTATGTTTTCACAAATAAAAACAATAGATCATACAATGTACTGCTTATAGTCTTACATCGGTATGCAAAGAAAAAAACAAAAAAAAAACAACAAAAAAACCCCCCCAAAAAAAAAAAAAAAAAAAAAAAAAAAAAAAAAAAAAAAAAACAAAGGGGGGAAGCCAGCGCCCAGTGTTACATTTATGTAATATCATGTATCCAATAGACATGTTTAAGGCCTGATAACACAAACATACCTAGCGGTGGTGGTAAGAGAAAGGAAAAGAAAAATGCCTAGTGATACGAAGGGAGGGTGTCCTTTAGTTAAGACCTGGTGAAACCTTCCACTTCATAGAATTCTGACCTCTCATCAGCAGTTGTGTCAACTCTTTAGGTAGATAGCTAAGCACAGGAGACCACATATCAAGAAAATGTTTTTCATTACCCTTAAGAACCGCACAAATCCTTTCATGAGGGAGGACCCTAAATATTTCCCTGTACCACTGTGTGACAGTTGGTGGCGTATTCTTAATCCAATTAATTAAAATGCATCTTCTGCCCAGCAGCAATAATTTGTCACAAAGCTTGAAGTGTGATTGTGTCAGAGTGACTGATTTTGAGGGGAGGCCAAGAAGAAACAGACCTGGGTCACATCTGATCTTTACATGAAACATGTCACTCAGCTCTTTAGAGATTGCAGCCCAGAATCTTTTAATCAGTTTACACTGCCAGAAATAATGATAGTATGTACCAACCTCTCTTCCACATTTGGTACATAGGGGAGAAAGCTGCCGATCCATCTTATTCAGTATAAAGGGTGTTAAATGATTTCATTTTAATAAAAAACACAAACACAGACTTCGAATTAAATCTTTATTTAACCAACTTTTTTAACCATAACAGAATTGTTTTAAAGAAAAATAACTTAAGAGACCTGAGTTATGTCATTAAATACTGACAAAGAATAAACTAAAGTGACCAGAAAAGTGACCAAAATAAATATAACAAATAAATAAATGCCCCCCCACCGCCGCCGCCGGCCCCGTTTCCTGCTTTAACCTGAGTTATCACTTTGAAGTTTCTGGCCCCTCAGCATTTTTATCTCAATTGTTAGAACTACGTGGGAAACTGCCCAGAACTGAAAATATATATATATTTTCCGAAGATTCCTCGGAGGAGAGCCGCACCGGGGCCTAAACAGCTCGTACTCCTGTGGCTGTGAGCGGCTGAGATGATAAAAAAAAGTTGGTTTCGTTATCAGACTGGTTTTCACTGGTTCCCGACACATTTTCCAGATGACTGTGGTTTGTTTTTGTCCGACTTGCCATGACCGAAATACTGCCAAACTGCCGAACGACAGAAACCCTTCTTTGAAACAATTTCCTCCGCCTCTCCTTGCTGCATCTTCATGTGCTCTGTGTTGTGGTTTGAGAGGGCGGCGCTTGGTCTATCGATTGATATATATCGTTATTGAATTATCGCCCAGCCCTACTAAGCATGCCTATCACTTAAGCGTGAGCTGGTCATTGCAGTCGGTGGACAGGACACATTTAGAAATGTAATGTGAACACCCACACAAAAAGTTCGGATCTGACAAAACAATTGGAATTGAGCATTTATTTATTTGTTTATATTTATTTTGGTCACTTTAGTTTATTCTTTGTCAGTATTTAATAACATAACTCAGGTCTCTTAAGTTATTTTTCTTTAAAACAATACTGTAATTGTTAAAAAAGTTGATTAAATAAATATTTAATTGGAAGTCTGTATTTGTGTTCTTTATTAAAATTAAATCATTTAGCAATATTATAAAAAGTCCAGGCAGAGCTGCACATAAAATATGGTTTCAAATCTTTTCAATAATATCGATATCGATAATAATATCGATACCCAGCTCTACATTTCACACACCTTTTCTCTTCTGGCTTCACAGCGGCGCGCCCTCTCACTCACGTTCACACACTGCGCTGCCTGGACCACAAAAAATTTATTCCACAACACTTTCATTATTTTCGAGATTGATGTTCAATCAGAGCCAGAAAAATATGATTTAACTGTTTCATCCATTTTGTACGTTCAGTGTCCGTCTCCTCTGGTGCATAAATAAGCAGGTCAGTCTCGGATGGATGCGACATGCCGTACACACTGCGGTCGCCTTTTTTATGTGTTGCTAAAGTAAAATTGCTGCTTTGAACTCAAACACAGCTGCTGTCCTACTGATTTTAAATAGGGCATTTTGCAATAGACATGAAGTAATTAATCTTGCAGTAAACGAACGTTCAGGGAGCTGGGGAGACCACCGGACTTCTGGAGGAGAGGAGGAAGGGCAGGACACCAGTGCCAGCATGAACTAAAACTCAGCTCAGACAGTTAAATTCGGATTGGATTAAAATGGATTTTCAAACAGACAAAGTAGTTTTAAAGAGCATGAATTGCTGGTAGATCTTTTTTTTTTTGTAAACAGTGCGGTGGTGATGGTTCTAGAGGCTTTACTGCATGCCGCTGCTAATCTTTTAGTGGTAGCTACACAATACTGGACCATACCAGCTTACTTTCACCCCTGTTAACTGAAAGTTAACTAGCTAACGTTTTTTTGTACCACTGGCAGCTAAAAAAAAAAAAACATGTGAAGTTCCAACAATAAAAGCTAAACGTTTCCCACAGACAGATTAAGGCATTCATTTATTTTTGTTAAGGGACTCACCTCCCCGTTGCGTCCTCTCCTGGATAGACCTCACGGCTCCCGCACTTTCTGCTCCCGAGTGCGCTTTGTAAATTCGAATATGATGCATTCAAAACACTCGTAATTTGGATAACTCCAACTTGAAACAAAAAAAAAATGTCACGGAAAGTAGAATTTGAATAAAAATACGATCCTTCACGGCATACAGACTTAACAATGTTGCCTTAATTTTAAAGTACAAAAGACACTGCCACTGTGAGGCACATATTTTAGGTCTGCTTTGTTAATTTGCATTTACAATTTACATTTCCAATGGTTCCACAAATGAACTCTCACGCTTGGTCTTACTCAATTTAGCTTACATCTTTATTTAATTCTTTGGACAAAACAAAATACATGACACAATATTTAAAAATATAAATAAATAAATAAAATATATATATATATTTTCTTTTTTCTTTTTTTATATATACATACATATATACATATATAAATATATATATATATATATATATATATATATATATATATATATATATATATATATATATATATATATATATATATATATATATCCATATATATATGTAAAAGACTATATGTATATACATATATATGTACATATATATGTACATATATGTATATATATGTATATACATTTATATATATATATATATATATATATATATATATATATATATATATATATATATATATATATATATATATATATATATATATATATATATATATTAAAGGGAGCAGAAGGAAAAAAAATCTTTTATATAATCTACCCCTTCTCACACTCAAATTGTTATACCGATCATACTTTCACCAAAAAAAAGATCTATTAAATTTGAGTCAACTTTGTTAGAGCAGGGAGATATGGGAAACCTGCTGGATTACGCCCTCATAAGACTGAATTGAGTAACCCTGGCCTCTTGGAATGAAAATGTTGTGCATTCACTGAATTGTATTGACATTAATTTAAAACAGGGAAATTAGACAAAAAACATTAATCTTGTAAGATAATATATACATACATATATATATATATATATATACAGGTGCTGGTCATAAAATTAGAATATCATGAAAAAGTAGATTGATTTCAGTAATTCCATTTAAAAAGTGAAACTTGTATATTATATTCATACATTACATACAAACTCATATATTTCAGATGTTTATTTTGTTTAATTTTGATGATTACAAATGACAACAAATGAAAATCTCAAATTCATCATATCAGAAAATTAGAATATTGTGAAAAGGTTCAAAATTGATGGCCCCTGGTGCCACACTCTAATCAGCTAATTAACTCAAACCACCTGCAAAAGCCTTTAAATGGTCTTTCAGTCTAGTTCTATAGGCTACACAATCATGGGGAAGACTGCTGACTTGACAGTTGTCCAAAAGACGACCATCGACACCTTGCACAAGGAGGGCAAGACACAAAAGGTCATCGCTAAAGAGGCTGCCTGTTCACAGAGCTCAGTGTCCAAGCACATTAATAGAGAGGCGAAGGGAAGGAAAAGATGTGGTCGAAAAAAGTGTACAAGCAAGAGAGATAACCGCACCCTGGAGAGGATTGTGAAACAAAACCCCTTCAAAAATGTGGGGGAGATTCACAAAGAGTGGACTGCAGCTGGAGTGAGTGCTTCAAGAACCACCACACACAGACGTATGAAAGACATGGGTTTCTGCTGTCGCATTCCTTGTGTCAAGCCACTCTTGAACCACAGACAGCGTCAGAAGCGTCTTGCCTGGGCTAAAGAGAAACAGGACTGGACTGCTGGTGAGTGGTCCAAAGTCATGTTCTCTGATGAAAGTAAATTTTGCATTTCCTTTGGAAATCAAGGTCCCAGAGTCTGGAGGAAAAGAAGAGAGGCACTTCATCCACGTTGCTTGAAGTCCAGTGTAAAGTTTCCACAGTCAGTGATGGTTTGGGGTGCCATGTCATCTGCTGGTGTTGGTCCATTGTGTTTTCTGAGGTCCAGGGTCAACGCAGCCACATACCAGGAAGTTTTAGAGCACTTCATGCTTCCTGCAGCTGACCAACTTTTTGGAGATGCAGATTTCATTTTCCAACAGGACTTGGCACCTGCACACAGTGCCAAATCTACCAGTACCTGGTTGAAGGACCATGGTATCCCTGTTCTTAATTGGCCAGCAAACTCTCCTGACCTTAACCCCATAGAAAATCTATGGGGTATTGTGAAGAAGAAGATGCAATACACCAGACCCAACAATTCAGAAGAGCTAAAAGCCACTATTAGAGCAACCTGGGCTATCATAACACCTGAGCAGTGCCACAGACTGATCGACTCCATGCCACGCCGCATTGCTGCAGTAATACAGGCCAAAAGAGGCCCAACTAAATACTGAGTGCTGTACATGCTCATACTTTTCATGTTCATACTTTTCAGTTGGCCAACATTTCTATAAATCCTTTGTTTTTATTGGTCTTCAGTAATATTCTAATTTTCTGATATGATGAATTTGAGATTTTCATTTGTTGTCATTTGTAATCATCAAAATTAAACAAAATAAACATCTGAAATATATGAGTTTGTATGTAATGTATGAATATAATATACAAGTTTCACTTTTTAAATGGAATTACTGAAATCAATCTACTTTTTCATGATATTCTAATTTTATGACCAGCACCTGTATATATATATATATATATATATATATATATATATATATATATATATATATATATATATATATATATATATATATATATACATATATATATATATATATATATATATATATACTTTCCTTAACAAACAACAAATTCTGCACAGCCAGCACAATATTTATAGCTACTGACAGATGCTCTAAGAGACTAAAAGCAGAAGGAAGGAAAAGATCAACTTGGCTATGCCTATGGTATATTCCTGCTAGTATGAGGGTCAGTTTGGTCTCCCGAACAACTCTCAGGATTCAACATCTGCTTTTTAACTTTTTTTTATGAATGGTTTTATTTCTCTTTGAATCATGGATGCAACATTCAGGCTTGCCATGGGGTGTGTCCATGATAGACATTAGCTCTGATAAAATTCTTCTCTCACCTCCATAGTGGAGAACACTAAAGCAGTTAAGGCCTAAAAGTGTTTAGTCTTCTCACTGCTTCCATAGCAATCTCCAGCAAAGCATCATTAATGGTAAGCTTCTTCCAGAATGAGTGAGGAGCAATGTGGAAAGTTGTTCCTGCAGCAATGTTATCAATCATGCCCATCATGGAACATTTCCACTGAAAAAGGAATATGTACTTATCTTATATTATCTTATCTTATGGTTTAAGTTCATTATTTAGCACAGAAATGCATTAAAACAGAGTGCAAGGAGGGAACAAAGTTATAGACAATATATACAAATATATACAAAGTCATAGACTTGTATAAAGTTCCACTCAAATCAACTTGAAAATAAAAGAAGGAGCCCAAAGAAGTTTGAGCAGTGGGAGTTGGATACAAAGAAATGGGCTATATGCACGGTTCCACTACTTCCTAAATTTCAGACAGCACCTTTGCTTCCTGTCTTTCATTATTGGACAAACTGATTAATCCAGGTGTGTCTGATCTCAATAACTGGCCAAACACACCTGGGTTAATCAGTTTGTCCAATAATGAAAGACAGGAAGAAAAGGTGCTGTCTGAAATTCAGGAAGTAGTGGAACCGTGAATTTCCATTTGGTTTCACAGGGGTAGACTGTTCCTTTCCTCCAAACCAATCGTGGGATCATGTAAACACTGAATCAGAAAGTTGTAAGGTTGCGTTCTTACAGTGAATGTTTCTACAAAACGTCAGCGTGCAACGAGTGACGTGGTGAACCGCATAATTCCCTGGACAGCAACAGAAATTTTTTTTTTTTAATTCAGACTCTTTCGCTACGCCTTTTTCTCTTGGCTGTCTCCAGGAGTGTACTGTATGAGTATCAGTTTTTAAACCTTTTCTTTAAAATAATGTGATCTAACATCATACTGTGCATATCAGAAAGAATAGTTCTGCTTGGATGTTGCCGCATGTACACACCAGATTGGAATGAATTAATTCCCATGTAAACAGCTGCCTTTAAAACCTCAATCAGAATGATTTTGTACCAAAAGGGAAAAAGTCTCTATGTAAACATACCTACTATCTCCCTTTGTCCTTTTAGGATTGTCTGTGTTTATTCCCTTGTTTATCTTCCGTGTTCCATGCATGCCCTTCCTGCATCCTTTTGTGTTTTCTTGTGAGTTCAAGTCTTGGTTAGTACTTTGTTATTGTTCTGTTGTACCTTTCCAGCCAGCATTTAATGTGGGGCCCATATGGGTTCAATTTTGGCTGTATAGGGACCCAAGTGGGTTTGTCCATGGTTTCCATGGTGGCCCCATGTGTTTTCCCGTATAGCCTATAGGCATGGGCTTGAACAGGGCAAATTTGCAGATCTCATAGTTTAAGTTACATGGGCCCCATATGTGGAAGCCCACATGGGGAAACACAGTTGGGACTACCATGGAAACTAGGGATGGAACTGTTTATGAAAACCGTTCGAACCGTTCGGTTTGACTGTCTCGGTTCGGTTCACATGTGTTGCATTCGGTACATGCGCTGCTCCTTTTTCTCATAGGCGAAGCGTGTACACTCCAGAGCAGAAGGTGGCGGTACTGCGACCAAAGCCAACCACCAGTAGTAAACAAGAAGAAGAAGAAGCGAAGCAGCGCAGCCGGGTGTAGCAGAAAAACATCAGTTGTTGTGCAGAATTGTGTGGGTATGACGAGTGGGAAAGAACGGGAGTTGGAAGACGCAGACATGGGCAATGTGGAGTCAACAAGTCATCTCCATGTTATGTATTTAATCTACCCAGCCAATTAACCAGGTGAGTCCAATCTGCACAGGTTAATTTACGGTGAAGATTGGACTCACCTGCTTCAGTGGCTGGGTAGAACAAATACATGACATGGAGATAACTTGTTGACTCCACATTGCCCATGTCTGGGAAGACGCGCCAGCAGCACTTAGGTCTGCTGTATGGGACCACTTTGCATTTAGAGTGACCTACGATGACGGTGGAAAGAAAGTTGTGGATAAAAGTGCAACAGTGTGCAAGCATTGTGCAACATGTTTTGTTTATGCGAACAGCAACATGACCAACATGTCAGGCTAACCCCAAAATCCCACATACTCCGTCATCGCTCCGCTCCGCCCCGCTGTGCTCCAGACCGCCTGCACAAAGCAAAGCCTATAGCCTCCGCTGTGGCTTCCGTGGATGGATATACCCACATGGATATGTTGGCTGGGTTGGATTCCTT